GGGGAGATGCGGGGGTCGCTGCTGCTGGCCCCCCCACGGGGTCTCGGGAAGGCGCGGGCCTGGTGCCGCAGGCGCTGTGTCCGTGCAGCCGCCCGGGGGCCTCTAACGGTGCAGCAGGAACTTAGAGCCGCACCCCCGCGCCCGCTGGGACACCTGCGTGCGCACCCACTGGGAGAAACAGCGCCAGGCCCGGCACAAACGAAAGGAAACCCAGGCCGCGGTGCCAGGTGCGGGCGCCAGGTGCTCCCACTGCAGCTACAGTCCCGTCTGTAAGCCGAGTGGGGGGGACGTGCTGCTATTTTATACTTGACAACCTGGCTGAAAGCAGTGAGTGAGGGGAGCATGACTTTTGCAGTCAGATGACCTGGGTGTTTGTTTATTTTTTCATTTTCCATTGGTTTTTAAAAATATGTTTTTATTGGTTTCAGAGAGGGAGAGGGGGAGAGAGAGAGAAACATCAGTGATGAGAATCATGGATCAGCTGCCTCCTGCACGCCTCACACTGGGGATCGAGCCCGCAACCCGGGCCTGTGCCTTGACCGTGACCTCCTGGTTCCTAGGTCGACGCTCAACCACTGAGCCACGCCGGCCAGGGTACTGTCCATTGATTTCCAGAAAGAGTGGAAGGGAGGGAGGAGGGGGAGAGAGAAACATCGATGAGAGAGAAACACACGGATTGGCTGCCTCCCGAAAGCGCCCCTACAGGGGCCGGGGAACCTGCAACCCAGGTACATGCCTTTGACCGGGAATCAAACCTGAGACCTCTTGGTCCACAGGCGGACGCTCTAACCACTGAGCAACAGCCAGGGTTTAAGTTCCCTCCTGCCCCTTACTAGACCTGGGCAAGTGCTGACCCTCGGTTCCGAGGGGCGGTGTGGGCTCCCTGATCAGCCGTCCATCAAGGACGCTGCGTGAGGTGCCCGGGACGCCCCAACACTCCCGCCCTGGCCCTCCCTGCCTGCGTGTGCCCGGCCCGCAGCTGGAGCAGGTTGCTCGTGTCCCCTGGGCCGCGACCCTCGCCCTCACTGAAGGACGGCCCCCCTCCTTAGGCCGGGAGCCCGGGGCAGGCGGAGTGAGCAGAGTGAGCGCAGGAAACACCTGCTCCTGATGCTTTTCCTGCTGGGAGTAGGGGAGGGGTGACCCCGGGAAGGAGGTGTAGCCCCGCCCATCTCTTCCCCTCTCAGCTGAGGGGCGAAGGGGGCAGTGGGAGGGTGGGCATAGCCCTGAGAAGTAATACAAAGAGCTTCGTTGGCCCTCGCTGGTGTGGCTCAGTGGATAGAGCGTCGGCCTGCGGACTGAAGGGTCCTGGGTACGATTCCGGTCAAGGGCACATGCCTGGGTTGTGGCTCCATCCCCATTGGGGGGGCGTGCAGGAGGCGGCAGATCCAGGATTCTCTCTCATCATATTTCTCTCTCCCTCTCCCTTCCTCTCTGAAGTCAATAAAAATATATTTAAAAAACAAAGAGATCTTCTTTGAAGGACTTCAGGAAGGTGACGAGGGAGGGAGGGAGGAGCCTGGTCCCCACGCAGAGGGAGGAGTCAGCTGTGTGTGGACGGGGAGCAGCTGAGGTGAAGCCCCTCCTTCCACGGCCCCCCCCCAGTGACCGCCCCCCCGCCCAGGGACCCCGGTCTTGGGATTGCACGTGGGCATCTGAACTCTGTGCGACCAGGCAATCTGTCCCTCAGAGGCTGAGAGCCTGGGAGGCCCCCGGGCAGGCAGGGTGTCTGTCTGTCTACACACATGCACACCGTCTCGCACACACACGGCACAGGCCTGTACATGGCGCCAGGCCCTGTGGAACGGGAGAGGAACTCAGACGCCATTCTGGTCGGACAGGCTTAAAACACAACTGGCTCAATGTTTATTTTTTCTCAGAAAAAGACATGCCCTCCGGAGGGAAAGGCAGTGCGGGCCCCCACCTGGGCCGGCGGAGCCCCCTGGCCCCCCTGCCCCAGGAGATGGCTCTGGGCCACCCGGGGGAGAGGGCCACCCGGGGCTCCCGGGCCGACTCCTGGTGCCAGGCGAGCAGCAGGACTGACGACAGGGAGGGACAATAATAAAATAAACGGGGGATCTTCACGCTTAAAATTTTCTCCTGGAAAACAGAGTCAAACACCACTTCCAGGCACCGCAGCTCCCAAACCCTCAGAGAGTCCGGGGAGGGGGGAGGCTGGGCCCCTCGGAGCCACGCCCCAGCCTCCGGGCCAGTGGCCTGCTCTGCAGAGACGAGGTGGCCCTTCTAGATGCTTCCGGAGTGGGGACCAGACCCAAGACGCTCCAGTGCGGCGCTCCTGGCCGGCACAGGGTCTCCCCGCATGACACGCCCGCTCTCGGACTCCAAACCCGCCTGCCGGGCCTCGGGCTGCGCCAGCCCGGCTCCCCCCTGGGCCACGGGGAACCAGCCCGGGGAGGGAAGGTCTGGGCGCAGTCACACCCCCACCAGGAAGAGCAAGAGTCCCTTCCCGGGGAAGGGGCAAGCGCAGTGGCTCCTCAGGACACGCCTGCTCCGTCCCGGGCCAGGGGGCCCTCGAGGCCGGGGGAGTCCGGGCAGGGCCCCCCGAGCTCGTGGG